CCTTCATCGGCAGCATTTAGGGACCTGGCCGATAGACTACAAAGACAGGTAAGAATCATTGTTTCTTTGTAGATAATTCAAATATCCAGTCAATTAAATACTTTAACATAACTCAAAGATGTTAAATAATGCTGGACATATAAAACAAACACTCTTTGTGTATAACAATTGACTTCCATTGCTGATATTTTGTTGTTGTTTTTTTTTTCTTTTTACATTTTCAGCTCTTTAACAGCTTTAGGAGAAGATTTAGGTCCCTTTTGAGAGTCCTGATCTTGAGATTCAGGTATATATAGAAATATCAATAGCCTTAGGCACTTACATTATAAATATATTATTAAACATTTCTATTCATTTCTATTAAAATGCATCACTATATAAAGTTTTTTTAATATATATATATTTTTTTTTACAGTGAAGGTTCAGTTGTTGTTGATTCTGAGCTGCAATTTCCAAATGCAAGCTCTGTGCCAGAGCCTAGAGAAGTAGAAAACGCTCTGGTGGAAGAAGCAAATACCAGCTCCAACCTTACACTTGTTCCAGGAAGTATTGTTGTAACAAGTAAGCCTTTTTTGAATTGTGTTCTTAGTAATTGATTTGATACACAACAGTTGATCTTACAGTGATACATAAACCTAAAGCAAATGTTTTTACTTTACTTTTTTTAGTTTTTCGGAATAATGTAACAACAGTTAAAACATGGCACAATAATTTCTCATACTTTTAATTTTTCTAAACAGAGAGATTTTACATTATAATATGTGCCTTTCTATGATAAATTTATAAAAGCATTTTAAAACTGGGAATTGATAAATTTGGCAATGATAGTTCTGAAAAAAAGAAGTTCTAAATACATTATCTGTGCTTGGGCATAAGGGAGCTTTACTCCATCTCAGCCCCTCAGTAGAATCCTAATTATAATATCTATCAGGTCCAGGTTAGCTAATTTTTTTCCCTGTCTTAGTGATTATGTTTGCTTGTAAGTCTTTTTTAACAACAGCTATTTGTGACATGTCTTATTAGTTCATTCGTAAAACTTTAAGGAATGAATGTCACATGTCATTTAAACCACCTTAGTGCCGTCTTCAACAGCTACTCAAGATAACACACCCCTTCCAGTACTGGAGGCTAACATAGCCTTGACCACTCTCTTTAATCATATTGTCTTACATTTTCTGTTTTCTTTTACAACCCATAAGTGAAATCCAGACTATTTTGACCTTTCCCTGTCAGTGAATAACCAACTTCTCCTGCAAAAACAGGGGCTAATGAAACTACAAATACAACTACACCTCCCATGACAACAACTTCAAACATGACAGTAAATTCAACTACGGCCACTACAACTACAGCAGCAAATTCCACTACTGCCAATGCAACTACAGCAGCAAATTCAACTACTGCCACTACAACTACAGCAGCAAATTCCACTACTGCCAATGCAACTACAGCAGCAAATTCAACTACTGCCACTACAACTACAGCAGCAAATTCAACTACTGCCANACTACTGCCAATGCAACTACAGCAGCAAATTCAACTACTGCCACTACAACTACAGCAGCAAATTCAACTACTGCCAGTGCAACTACGACTTCAACAGGTCCTCCAACAGGCTCTGAGGGAAGCCTTAGCATTAGATTTAGTCTCAACAGAACCTTTACACCAGGTCTAGCCACGAGCGGCTCGCCAGAATTTATTGAACTGGCTTCAACTGTCGTCAATGAGGTAATTTAAATGTACATTATAACTACTTCTCTGAATAAGACTGCTAGATGTTAATACATTGGGGGGATTTGCTACGTTTGACTACTAGACCTTTAAGCTAATGCAGATAAACTTTCTGCTGCTCTGACTGCTAATATTTAAGGTGGAGCCTATATAATGAAGAGAAAATAAAACAAAAAGAGTTACATATATGCTGGATGTCACTTCATGCTTGTGAAAATGTAACACTATCACGGTCTTTCAGATTAACAGAATTTGTCGCAGACTCTTTTCTGGATTCCTGCGCTCACTGGTCAATTCATTCACGTAAGATTTTATTACCGTCTCTGTCTATACTTTCTTTTTGTTGGTAGGTTGCCTTTTAATGTGTTACCTTTTTTATTTTAGGGAAGGATCTGTAGTTACCAACATGACTCTAGTGTTCAGAGACGCTTCTTCAGTTCCTGATTTAAACACTGCTCAATCCCAGCTGGCCAGCGCACTTCTTACTTCTAACGTCCTGAATTATATAAATGGAAGCCTGGTTGTTGGTAAGTCATGGCAAACTCAAAAGTCTTCTGGCAGTAAAATAGCATTGGATAAAACACATTGGATGAAACAAACATTTTGCGTTTAAAAGGCAAATTAAATGTTAATGTACATACATTCTTTTAGGTCATATGCTGACTTTACTGACTTCTTTAACTCTGTTTTCAATATTTTAGAACCAACAACAACATCAAGCAGTCCCCCTCAACCAACACTGGGCGGATTAACTATTTTCTCACTAACCATGCTGGCTGTGGCACAGATGCTGATCAACTCATAGTACTCTAAGTACAATCATTGTCAATTGCTGCAACTGTGCATGGAGTCATATGTAAATTTGATGTAGCACATGTGCACAATGAAATTTACCATTTGTTCATGTGGTAAAAAGATGTGTTGTGTGGGTCAAAGATTACTAAAGCTTTCAATTACTTTCCAAATTGAAATAATGTCTTATTTAAGTTAGTGATTGATATAATCCTTGCAAAAATCTGTGTATCTCTTTGTGTTTGTGTTTTCTTGATATGCTTGATTTCATTACAAAATGAAAAAAATAAATATGTCTAAATTATAATGTACGGCACATTTATGTTGTAAAATTACAATATATGACTCATCATTTTTGTTTCATTAAAATCCATATATTGTCAAAGAATGTAAGTGTGGTTATTATAGAATAGTGCATAAAGCAATGACAAAAGGGCAAATTAAAAACTAAAAAGTGTCATGATTTAACTAAAGATCTGACCCAAATGCAGAAGACCAAACAGAGAGACCAGG